TGCAGCAGTTGCTGCTGCTCCCTTTGATGCTGTTAATCCTGCATAATGCACATGCATATGCAGTACTAATCACATTCCTGCATTTCCCATAAATATGCTAAATTCCTTTTGATATGCAAATTCCTTTGTCAATGCGCCCAGCTTATATATATGCTCCAAGCTCGTGTGCTGTTTCATTCAGACTCTGTCGCCTCGACGGACCTGGTTTTCACCTGAGGACGGCTGCTTGCGTTGTGGCCGAAACGTCGTGAGAATTGTTTTATTATGTTTTATTTTTATTATTTTATTACTTCCCTTCTACGTGACTTTACCGAAAGAACCAAGAAGATGAATCCCTGCAGTCACGAAAGCTTTAAATTGAATAATGACACTTGTTTCTTTCTTTGTCAGAATCGGAATCTTGATTTAGACTGCAGGAGGAAAGAAACCACGCATGCTCAATTAAAGTGAGAAGTCAGCCCTACAATTGTTCCATGTTTTCACGTAAAGAAAAAGCTGAGAGCCGTGATTGTCATGTACGTTGAACTTCTTTCGCACCGTACGTAGCCAACCGTGCTAATCGCAGGTGCGACTATAGTAAGATAGCGATGTTGAGTAACCCGCACAACACGAAATACGAACTTACACAGCGCGAGTCGGAAAGCGACGCGTTGCTGCGGCTTGCCGGGCGGATTGCTACGATCGCAGGGGGCGTGAGAGATGGAGACGGCACGGGGGAGGCTCTCATCCAGCAGTGGATCGTGGCTCACGACGATGATGATGAAATGCGATCACATGTCGAGACTGGTACGGAAAGCAAGAACCCGAAAGGTTTTGTTGCCGGGGAAGGCCCAGGTACCATTCCATGTCGTTAGGCGAAGGCGGTGGTGTGGCTGTCGCGTACGCAGGCGGTGCAACTGCACCAGCTCCTGGCACGGGATCAGAGGAGGGGGGGCAGGCGCCGAGCTATGAAGAGGGGGGCGGGGTGGGGAGAAGGGGGGGGCTGTACAGTGGGCCCCCATTTAATTTAATTCCTTGCGCCAGGGCCCATAACCAACCACGCCAAGTCCAAGGTGTGAAGGAGAAAGTTACAAAGAGCGGAGCTTTGGGGAAACATTATTTGGGTGCTGATGAAGATAGTTGGACAAATGGACACGGTCATGGGCAGAGAAGAAGCAGAAGAGCAGAGGAATATAATTCACATGACCCATAATTTATAACTAGAGTACTTACTGAGCGCTGTAGTAGGGCATTGTGGGAAACAAGATAAGTTAATCAAATCAAACTTCTGTTCTCTCTCCACATAAAAACTAAAATACTGTTTAGTCTATGGGCTGCTTGGCCTTACACACATTAACAAGCAGTTTGTTTTCAGGCTGCAGCAGACTCCAGACGGGTTTCAAACTTCTGGGTCTCATCAGCCGAGCCTCGACATGTGATTTGCCAGAAGCCTTCGCTTTCACGAGCAAGGTACTGTAATAGGAAAAAACACAGCGACGCTTCGAAATAGATGTTATCCAGGCAACCCACAATAACACTGTCGCGTTAATACACGGCGCGGGGATTTATATAAATGAACAGTCCCTTTTTTGGAATTAAGAATGACTGATATGCCACCATCATCGGGCATGATCTCTCCACGACTCGATGAAGGCCTCTGTGTGAATAAGAGGTTACATAGCAGTGGATAGAACATAGCTAATGTTCATGGCGATCATGGTGGAGAAGCAGAAGACAATCATGACTTGTTGACGCGGGATAGTTTGTGGCTGAACAGAAAGGCACCTCAGAACCTCCGACGTACATACAGCCACAGCAAGCCGTGCCGACCAATGCCTTGCAAAGCCACCTGCCTTTCCTCCTCCCCCCTCCTCGAAGACACACCGGTGGTCGAACCACCAACCGCATCGGAAGATCAGCAGCAGGCCCGATGCGCACATCTCCTTCGCAAATGGAAAACTAAAGAGACGCAAGCCGCGCGATCAAGCGAACTACGGACCACAGAATACACCCACAGGGACTCGTGGAGATGCATAGAGACTTGCCGCTATAGAGACCACGGAGACACGTAAGAGACCAGCCACACAGTGGTGCGGTTGTGGGTGGCCATGCTACCCAAACTATCGACCATACTACTGTAGTGAGTTCGACTGAGTCTCAGACGTACTCTTTGGAGGCAACACATTTATTGATACCAACACAAAGGGGTAACTGCCCCTTTACCAGATAACAACCGATGGTGGTGGACCACCAGGCTAGCTACACAGTGGTGGTGGACCACCAGGCTAGCTACACTAATGACACTGGGAGTAGCTACAACAGACAGGACCCCAGCTTGGGTCCAGGTCCACGTGTGGGTGACGCTTCTGGGGCGTAGAGCGTCGAGTCTTCAGGGTAACCACAGCAGCCGGTCCCTCTCGGGGACCCGGCTTCTATCCTCCGCGGCGGGGCTGGCTCCGCCCTTAGCCACGCCCACCTTCGAGAACCCTCGAGCAGGATCTCGGCCCTGACACGTGACCACCCCCAGCCCCCACCTGGGGGCCCTGTGTAGACTTTACCGGTAACGTGTCCTTCGGGGTCAACCAGAGTGCCACGGCCCTCAGTAACCCCATTCCCATGGCCGGCACTCTCGCGCCCCATCCTGTAGGGGTCGGCACTTCACGCAGAGCGCGGTGCCATCCAGCACCGTCAATCAGTGCTCACCGAGCCCCTCTCGGGCCGGTACTGCACCCACATCCACGTGGTGCCCGCGATGTCGCTACGCCGCACGCCGTGCCTCTCTGGGGCCGGCATGACACAGTGACATCCGCGATGTCACGACACGACTATAATGAACCAAGAATGTGTACGTGTCACGCGCGTGACGTCACTCCACAAGGCCCGCCCCCCGTGTGACGTCACTCCACATGGGCCCCACCCCCCCTCATAAATATTATACTAACACAGAGGAAGGTCGAGCTGAATTAAATAATGTATTACGCAGAGTCGCTTCAGATATGACGACGTTTCTTTACAGAAAGTGACGGTAAAAAATACATCTTTGCAGCACAGAGCACAGTGCTACATCAGTGCGTGACGTCACTGCAAAAGAGCCCCCCCCCCCCCCCCTTTTCATTAATATTCGTGCCCGCGTGGAAATTTACACTCACGCACAAGAAGGTCGCGCACTCCACCTGCCGCACCCCTCCCCTCATTAATATTCATGAGCTGGTGACGTCACCCCACATGCCGCACCCCTCCACAATAACCATTAGCGGGTGACGTCACTCCACATGCCGCACCCCTCCCTCATTAATAATCATGAGCTGAGCAATTTTTCTATTGAATATTTCAGATTTACAGCAATCTACACCCGTCCTTGGACGGGCAAACAAGCTCGTCGATTATAAAAGCCCGAAGTTCCGTTTGTCCGTCAACTAAATGATGAGAGTTTCAGAAAATTTTTATTAAAAAGTTATAGAAAGTGGAACCCCCCCGTCCCCCCAAATGTGGGGGCAAAGGTGATCCAACGAGTTTACAACGATCGTGAACCACCCCCGAAAAATGTCACTCCCCCCAAAAAATACATTTCTTTTCTCGGCATATATATAGGCATATATAGGCATATATATGTATACTGTATATGCCTACATCTGTCTACCCCCCACTGTTCAGACATGCCTCAGTCTGACTCGTCGGTTTGGTTTGGTCAGGGCTGGTGATAAACGTAAACATTAGTTGCTCTTATTAAATAGTCCTGCGCATCGGTGCTAGCGAGTAAGACACCTTCACGGAATAGTGTTTTTGATATTTATCTTTGCATCCAATGAACTTCAAGGTAGAACCCAGTCGTATGTGCACACATTGGGGGTAAGATGACATCAGTGGGGGCGGGCAGAAGCCCTCCGCAGGAGCTCGAACAAGTCGGCCCGTAGGCTGCCGGAGTCCTTCTGGTCCAACAAACCACGGCGCAGCAGCAGCAACGACGACCACGACGACGACGACTCCACCACGAACTCTCGCCGCTGAAGCCCTCTGGCCGTGACCAGCAGCAGCAGACCGCGACATTGGTTGGCATTGAGCTCCTTGAACCACATCACCGACGCCGCCGTACGCGACAGAAGAGGGCCACCACCCACGGCGTGGATACGGGACTGAGTCGAAGAGCAATTGGGGGGGGGGGGGTAGAGGGGCACCAGGAGGGGTAGAGGGGCTCGCACTCCGCGGAGGAGGGAGAGCGAGAGGTGACCGACCAGGCAAGTCGGGTTCTACCGCGTGTTCATCGGCACGATGGTCCGACGTTTCGCTACCACTCGCTTGACAGCTTGTTGGGAAGAGCGAATTGATTGCCTTTTCCCAATTGTTTGAATTGAATGACGCTCCCAAGCCAGCGACGTGGGAACGAGACGTCGTGGATTCCCACCATCGCCGTCAAATGGGACGACATCGACACGCGCGCCGCCACGCGCACGCCGGGGAGGTCCGGGCGCAGTCCGCCGACAAGCGGCGACACGAGCCGCGAAGAGCAAAAGTCGCCTCCTCGGTGTGTCTGGCTGCCCTGCGGGTGCGAAAGCGCGATCCCAAACTACAAGGCAGTCAATCCCACCTCGCTTTGCTCTCAAGAAGGGCCGTTGCCTGAACCGTCAATCCGCTATATTTGCCTGTTATAAAGGAGTTGTAATCACGGATGTGGTGGAGTTGATGTTATCCATGCGTCCACACCCAATGGTCAATACAGGCCCTTAATTTAGTTGAACAATAACACAGACGCAGAAGTATGCAGCGATTACATCACATTGTCATGTACTTAATAAACTGCTCATGTCATTTAATAATGTGTAATAACACTAGTTATGGTACCTGCTTATAAATACATACAATACGTATTATATTGACGTAATTCTTCCCAATACCTTATACATACATGGCTGGGTAAGGTACAGACCGAATCGCCCAGGCAGAAATATTTGTTGAGAAATCACTGCAGGCAAGAAACTTGATTAGAGCAGAAAGTTCGAGTGGAGTTTTTAATGCGAACTCACCGCACGGACACCTCCTCCTCGGCTTTTAATCGAAACGGCTGCGGAGATGAAAGGCGCCAAGCCGGAACGTCGTTATCCTGAGTGGCGAGTCATCTCCTTCAGACTCCGCTCCGCACTTTGCCTGCCGATGATGATTCTCGCTTCATTCGGCGGAATGTTCGCCTGGTTGAGAGAGCACGTGGGTGATGGACTGGTGGATGGAGGGGTGAGTTGGCGTATCAGTGGGTGGGATGGATGGATGAGTGTTATGGGTGGGTGGATGGCTGAGTGGATTGATAGAATGATGAATAAATGGCTGAGTGTATGGGTGGGTGGATAATTGATGGCTTTGATGACCTGATATTTCAAACTCAAGACTGTCTCGCCACACAAGAAGCCGACCACGGGAAGAGCCCTCCCTCCCACACACGAGTACCACCAACACGCAGTCCTCACTCACCCGCCGCTCATCAGCAATGAGAAGCAGGGGTGGAGCTACGCGCACTGGTGGGAGGCGAGCATGGCAGCCTCCAGCAGCTGTTCTCATCGCAGCTCTCCCACCCCTCCCGCACAACTCACTCCCACCCCACCCCCCTGTGCCCCGGGCACAACACCCACAACAACAACAACAAAATGTCACAACAACAAACGTCCTGCACCTTCCAGCCCCCACCACTCAACCGAAGCGAATTCGTTTTGGCTCGTCCCATCACAGCGCTGGGTAGTTCCTGTTCCACCCAGCCGCCCACCGCCGTGTGATCACGCAGAGTTGTGACTTCTGTGGCCGGGCGCAGCTCCCTTCGCTCGGCGTGTGCGGCTCAAAGATCGCGAGTCGGAGCCGCGTGGCTCCACACGAGGAGCCCTCGGGCCGGCAACGAGCCCGCGGGCCGTTCTAATGAGTCGATCCGAGACTGGTTTTATTCGGGGCTGTTTTGTATTCGTCTTTGTTTTAAATATTTTAAAAATGAAAGAAAAAAACACGCGGTGTGAGTGCACGAAGTTGGGATAGGTCGACTCAGCCTGAAAATAGTACCTGGTGTGGTGTGCAAACATCGCCGCTAGGGAGACAAAGGTGGTCGGCCGTGGTGCCAGCCACCCACCTCCTCGTGTGCCGTTCCGGCCTTAATAGGTGCTCGCTAACAGCACTTGCCCCAACATTCTGCTTAGCGTATACGGGGGGGGGGGGGGGGTCTTTGTCTTTGGTTACGATAGTAAAATGTGTGTATAATTAGCTGGGGACGAACTTTGTGTTAAACTGATATGATACATACCACAGCCGCTTGCTCTTCAACGTCATACGAAGTACCGCCGCATTGCAGGGCCCGCCTGGAGCGCGCATTTCAGATGTATGCACTGTCAGACCCGTCATCATTATTTAGCATGCACCCTTCTGAGTTGTCTGTATTTAATGTATCTATTCATAATGACATTAAATGAGCACATTGCCTCACGTGTAGTGTAATAGCGCCGCCTGGTGGACAGTGGCGGCAGCTGTGGCTGACGGACAGCGCACGCCGCCGCCGGCGTGTGGGCAGGGCGGAGAGACTGGGGCGAGGGTCACGGAGGACCCCGTCTGGAGGCCCCTGGAACCTGGAACCTGCTGGCGGGTTCGTGAAGGGGGCGTGGCCAGGGCGGAGCCAGGCCGTGCCGGGAGCATAAAAGGAGCCGAGAGCGGGCGGGGGGGGGGGGGCTCGAGGCTGCCGGTGCTGGGAGTGGACTCGTCTCGTCGCCGCTGTCCGTCTCCGCGAGATGTCGCGCTACGTAGGATGGTAGTTGCTATCTCAGTCAGCGGCGTCAGTGCTAGACGACGGGTGTTGTGTAAGGCCGAGCTGCTGTGGAGAGTGTGCGGACGAGACCGCGGGAGTTGTTAATGAAGAAGGTGCCTCCTAGAAACTCTGCCTCTGAATCGTTGACACTGAACATGTGCAGGTTTGTTCTCCTCTACGGCTGTGATCGCTGGACAATGACAATCACCCCCTGAAGCAAACTATACAAAGCAACAAAAATGAATTTTTAAAGGATGTTAAACATTCCGTAGACGGACAAGATGAGTGACATGGGTGTAATACTGTATGACGGGTGCCAGGTACACAATTAAACTTAATAATAATTAGGGAAAAGCCAGTTAGATGTATTGGACATGTACCGAGAAAACAAGAAGCTCCATACAATGTTTTGACTGGGAACATTAATAGAGGGACCACAAGACGCCAGGGGAAGACAGCGAATGAAGTCACAGAAGCAATTTGAACAACTGGGATGCAACTGGGAGGAGAGAATCCGATGCAGAGTTGCTGAGTAAATATCACGCACAGAGCTGAGTGGAGGGAAGGCCACGATCACCGACGTCTTGATAAAGAACACGGCTCATGGAGAGATAGAGCCGAACATTGCCCATAAACTAGCATTACCCATAGACTAACATTACCCATAGACTAACATTGCCATAGACTAACATTGCCCATAAACTAGCATTACCCATAGACTAACATTACCCATAGACTAACATTGCCATAGACTAACATTGCCATAGACTAACATTGCCATAGACTAACATTGCCATAGACTAACATTGCCCATAGACTAACATTGCCGATAGACAAACATTGCCCATAGACTAACATTGCCCATAGACTAACATTGCCCATAGACTAAGATTGCCATATACTAACATTGCCCATAGACAAACATTGCCCATAGACTAACATTGCCCATAGACTAACATTGCCCATAGACTAACATTGCCCATAGACTCAACACTGCCCATAGACTAACACTGCCCATAGACTAACACTGCCCATAGACTAACACTGCCCATAGACTAACATTGCCCATAAACTAACACTGCCCATCGCCTAACACTGCCCATAGACTAACATTGTCATAGACTAACATTGCCTATAGACTAACATTGCTCATAGACTAACATTGCCCATAGACTAACACTGCCCATAGACTAACATTGCCATAGACTAACATTGCCCATAGACTAACATTGCCATAGACTAACATTGCCATAGACTAACATTGCCCATAGACTAACATTGCCGATAGACAAACATTGCCCATAGACTAACATTGCCCATAGACTAACACTGCCCATAGACTAACACTGCCCATAGACTAACATTGCCATAGACTAAGATTGCCATATACTAACATTGCCCATAGACAAACATTGCCCATAGACTAACATTGCCCATAGACTAACATTGCCCATAGACTAACATTGCCCATAGACTAACACTGCCCATAGACTAACACTGCCCATAGACTAACACTGCACATAGACTAACATTGTCATAGACTAACATTGCCCATAGACTAACATTGCTCATAGACTAACATTGCCCATAGACTAACACTGCCCATAGACTAACATGGCCCATAGACTAACATTGCCCATAGACTAACATTGCCCATAGACTAACATTGCCCATAGACTAACACTGCCCATAGACTAACATTGCCCATAGACTAACACTGCCCATAGACTAACATTGCCCATCGCCTCACATTGCTCATAGACTAACATTGCCCATAGACTAACATTGTCTATAGACTAACATTGCCCATAAACTAACACTGCCCATCGCCTAACACTGCCCATAGACTAACATTGCTCATAGACTAACATTGCCCATAGACTAACATTGCTCATAGACTAACATTGCCCATAGACTAACACTGCCCATAGACTAACACTGCCCATCGCCTAACATTGCTCATAGACTAACATTATATACTAAAATTGCCAATGAACTAACATTGCCCATCGACTAGCGTTGCACGTAGACTAACATTGCCCATAGACTCACAAGTTCCTGAGTAATATCAGGGACAGAGCTGAGTGGAAGGATGGCTGTGATAGCTGACGCCTTTAAGAAAGGACACGGCTCATGGAGAGAGACAGAGATGGAGTATTCTCAGAAGATTGTTGATGTTAATAATTACAGGACGACGTTGATACAAATTTTAAATATCTCACCCAAAATGCAGGGTAATTAAATGAGCCTGACGGAGAAGCCCACGGCTCATGTACCTTAAACTAGCCACAAATCAAGGCCCATAAAATTCCATTGGGAGCCAATGGAACATTGCTGACATACCGTGCATATTTTTTTATTGTTGGCTTTTGCATAGAAATATGTTCTCGCAAACGACTCTGCACTGTTATTATTGTTCATATACCCGCTATCCGCGAAGTGTTTGCACCGTGATGGATGTGGTGCCCTGCACTGCTTTACTTGGTACTTCTGTGCTCCCTTGGTATCAAAACACCTCCAGATTTTATCCCGCCCCCCCCCATCCCAGCGGTGCAACCAATCAGTCCCAACTGCAATTCGTGAAGTTGGCTTACGTACGGCGCCAAAGAAGTTCAGCACAGTCGCTGTTTGTTGCTTTTTTGTGTTTCGGTTCCATTTCTTAATTTGTTTATTCTTTTTTATTTTGCTCAGGAGCTTGGGAGTTTTCATGTGCTTGGTCGTGGCAGCATTTGCGCTTCGGCCCTTATTGATATAATTAACTCGCTTTACTACCCAGCTTCGCCTGGGACTTGGATTCACCACGCCCGGCCGCCTTTGTCTTCCCAGTGGCGATATTGACACACCACATACTCGTTTGATGCTGAGTCGACCTAGGGGAGGCCCAGGACCGGTTCAATAATCGTCACCGGTGGTAGCCGTGAGCGGGAATGAAACTCGGGTCGCCGGGTTCGTAGCGCAGTGTGCTAACCACTACACTACCGCTCCCCCCACACACGCGCGTGTCCATAGGTACACATACACGCGCTTGCTGCAGACACACGCAACTTCCAGGGTGCGTACGGCAGTAAACGACTGAAATAATAAAGCAACAATGCTGCGCGACGAACGCCTGAGACCTGCAACACATTTGTATGGCACTTTAGCCGCCACGATCAGCAGGCACACTCCGTTACGCTTCCGCACACGGGTCACATGACAGATGTGACGTCACAGCCCACTTGCCGTGCAAAAAATATCTGCATTATTGAGCTCCCCCCACCCGAAAAGTGTTTATTTATAATTTGTGCATGGTCTACAGTCTGGAAAGTACCCACATGGCAAATTTCATGTTTGTTGCATGTCGGGAAGTACGCTAAACATTTTGAACAGACACACTTAATCACAACTTTGGCTTTTATATATACGGAGATGTACCAAGTTACAAGATGCTATTCGCATGCATGCCGCTACATAAAATGAAAGGAATTCTAATTGAGTTTGATTCACTGTTTTTATGGCGCAGCATTGCGTCACATTACGCTGCGCCCTATTGATGCTCACACTGGCCACGTCGTGGGTGCGCGTGACCCCACTGCTGCCCTCTAGTGGAAGTCTCTTGGGGGGGTTCTGCGACTCGCGTTGCCAACTCCCCAGGACGGGCCGGGCCATGGAGTCTCTGTCTTTAACTAGAATTGGCATCGGTCTCC